GAAAGATCAATAAAATTACAGAGAATCGGATTTCGAATGAGTTTAAATGAAACTGAAGTGGAACGTGTTCAACAGACTCAATTAAAGTGAACCAAAAGTGAAATATTCGAAGCAAAAAATGTCATCCGAATCAGCGCATTCATCCGCACCTCCCGAAATCGTAAAGGAAATGGGTGATCGTTTTGAAGAATCAGCGAGTGCAACTGATAAAACATCTATACAGTCACAATCACAACAACAAGAACTCTTCAATCCGAACAGCCAACTTGGAGATGATCTGATGCTATCGACAGTGCCTTCTTTCAGATCGAATGTCAGTTGGTTTCCTTCTAAATTTCCATCTCGAGTCTACTTTGTTTTGTTTCGCCTCCCATTTTTTTGTGAATAGTTTTAGTACGAATTAGAATATTTCACTTCAAATTGAAGAGACGGCTAGTCCCTGGAATGGAATGAAAATGAAAAATATCAAATCACTATTGTCGACTGATTCAGTGCCAGTTCGACTGTGTTTTAGATTCATCGCATTAATGCACTTACTACTATTTAATTGATTTTTCTCAATTTTTTTTCTTCCCTCATGTGAAAAAGCCAGGAATTTTCTTATCGTTTTCACTTGGGAAAATCTCTCAGTTTCGTGGCAAAATTTTTTTGTCGGCATCCGAACAACGTTTAGAGAATGATTTGTTTGGTGCAAATGCTTGAGATTTTATGTGAACATAATTGTGTGTTTTCCGTTTGAGAAGTATCCTCCTCTCTTTATGTGTGCATGTTATTGACACAATGCAGTTAGGACGAGAAAAATGATCGAATAGAATTAAAATGCTCGTTTCGATGAATGAATGAGTGTTTTTTGTTTGTGGAAATTATGAATCAATGTATTATAGTTGAGTTGAGGCAATCGATGATCCAAATAGTGCAGTGAAAAAATTCGGTTGCCGTCGAAATTTTGGATTTTTCGAATTGGAATTTTAATAGACACAACACAACGCGCATTATTCATATTTGAAACGCACACATTTTGTTGTTGTTGTATATTCCTCTGAAGAATATTATTTGATTATTTATGGATGTATTGCATTGGTTTGCAGAATACATCTTACTGAATTGCACCTCTGATTGATTTGTGTTGTTTTACGATTTTATTTTAATATCGTTGATTGTTTTATTTAAGTTGAGTCAGAGTCAGTATTATTAATTATTGAGTTTATTCGT